ATCCTGACGGTCACAGACAGTGCATGTGCTATTTGGTTGCAGATGCACAAAATAATCCAGGCAAAAAGTACCTTTCAATCTCTTCATTCTTCTTCCTCTTAGGAAGGAGTTACTGGTGACGGCCAACTATGTGTCTGGCTCTATTCAAATAATCACATTACAAAATATTTCATGGTAGAGGTATAAATAAAGTGTAAAATGATTTTAGACAGCAGTAGAACTTTCATCTGGGAGATTCAGAGAAAGCTTCATAGAGGGTATAATGTTTGATTGGTAACTAGAAGAAGGGATATAACTGTAACGAATATTTGGAAAATGAATGCAAGAGGAAATAGCAAGAGCAATGTGACAGGAACTGTGTAAATTTGAAGCCCAGGAATTACTTCGATACAACCAGAGCCACAGGGAAATAGTATTGGAAAGAGAGAACAGCTCATGGATGCTGAAGTAAGAGCCTAAGAAAAAATATGCATGTGGTGTAAAGCCAGAGGGAGAAGAATCAACAAAGAAGAAACAGAAACATGTAGAAAAGTTGGAGATTTCCATTAGCTTAAAGACAAAAGAAGGAGAGGAAAAAGTGCTGAACAAGGTCAAAATGTACACAGTGGTCAAGATAGTAGAACTGAGAAACCACCGATAATGTGATAGCAAGAGCAATTCCAGCCTCAAAAAACATGGAGAACATCAGATCTCAAGGGAAAGGAAGAAACTGTATTGAAAGTCAATGTAGTAGGTGTGAATTGACCTTTCTCATAGTTTGGTGGTGAATGGAGATAGGATGGAAGTAAAGATAGAAGTGCAAAGAGAAAGAAGAAAAAGAGAGGTAAGGGGATTGATCTGCTAATGAAAAGCAAACCATCGTGGTAGGCAGAAGGGTTGGCTGCAACATAGAGAGATTGGTGCTCTAAGGAAAATAGCTGATAACTGTTATATCAAGTTCTCAAGGGGGTGATGAGAGGAGATAGAATTGAAAGTATGAGTATCTCTTCCAGCAGAAGAAGGAAAGAAACGATAAGAAATTTTAAGATAGGTATGATGATGAGCGTTTGTGGAAAAGAGATGAAAAAATCCAAAATATGTGGCTTTACAATTTTATATACATTAACAGGTGAGATAAATGTGCCAGAAGAAAAGCAGGTGTAAGTAAGGAGAGGTGATTTGTGGGATACACAATCAATTGTGAATAGCAACTGTTGTGGGGGCACAGATTTCAATCAAATGCAGAAAGCTTTTGTGTTAATAGAAGAACGAACCATATTAGGGCAGGATAAGGTAATTATTGTAAATTACTGTAACAGAAAGAACCCAGAGAATTCATTGGCTTACAGAACAAGATGTCTATTTCTTTCTTATGCCCAGGGTGGGGTATCCAGGTTATCTGTGGCTCTTCCCTACTCAGCCACTTAAAAACCTAGGTTTGCAATGGCTTTGTCATGTTCAACATGTGACTTCCAAGTTTGCTCTGTGTCACCATCTCAGTAGAAAAGATCTTAGAAGAATTTGCATGGGAGGTTTTATGTCCAGACCTGGAGGTGGAACACATCATTTCTGCTCATATTCCATTAGCTAGAAGCCAGTTCCATGGCCGACCTGATGTGGGTGAACAGCTAGTAGGCTCTGTGGAGAAATCTATGACTCTATGCTAAGAGATCAGGACCCATGTTAATATGCCAGATCTCCTAAAGCTTAGAAAGTTCTTCTCCAAAGACAGACAATACTAAATTATTCATGATATAAGCTTCAAAGTTTGTATAACATCAAGGGCCACAGGCTTGCTGGAGCTCTCCTTGGTGCTGAACCCTGTATAGCTGCCTGGATCTCTCCAATATAAATAAGATTCCCACAGAAAAGGGTAAGGAGCAACATGGTACATAGACCTTGAGGTGATACATTAAAATTAATATTGTTGCTCATACAGAAATTTCCACTGAACACCTTGTTTGTCCACTTGATGGGAATTATTGAATGAAGGAGTGAAAAGAACCTTGGACTGAGAATTAAATAATCTGGGATATAGTCCAGATGTTGTCACTAATTCTCCAATGATCTAGCCAAGTCACTTCTTTCTTCTGTTTCTCAATTTTCCCTCTTTTACATGCTGCTAACGGGCTCAGTGCATCTTGTAAACTTTCCTAGTTCAAAAATAAATGTGTAGTAAGTCCTTTTAGAGTTGACAATGTTTTCTTGCCTCTGTATCTCATGAAGGAAGAGCCCCAAGTAAGTGTTCAGCTGTAAGGCATTCTCAAACACTGATGTCTGGAATACAAATTATAACTCCTTTGTGGAAGGTAGTTTGGTACAGGTTTCAAGAGCCTTAAGTAAGCACATGCTGAAGGAAATACAAGAAACCTTGGTGTCTGCAGAGAATTATATATAATTACATATAATAGAGAAAATTAAAAGAAATCAAAATGTCCAAGTTCAATAGGAATATTAAATACAAGGAATATATGCTGTCATTAAAAATAGGGGTTTTAAGGTTTAGTTAACATAATGAATATTGAGGAGTCATTAAAATGTTTGGTTAATTATTTAAGATAATAGAAGTATGCCATAAGTTTCATCTCTAAAAATGTCAGCCCCTCCCAATACTCTCTTGCATTTCCCCTTAGCTCCTATTACCACCTGAAATCTATACATTCTGCTAATCGTGTTTATTTTTGTCTCTCCAACCTGGGATGTATGCTTCATGAGGGCCGTAATATTTTTGTCTCTTTCGCCCCTTGTTTTAACCCCCATTTCCTAGAAAATTACTTGGAAGAGAGTTCCTATTCAATAGCTATTTGCTGAATGAATAATTTAGTGTCAAGTGAAAATGCAGATAATCTTAGATACAGAGCATGATGACTCTAATTTTATAAAGTTAACATATATGTATATGTGAGTTCGAATATGTCTTGGCTATTTATCATAAGTTTATTTTGTCTTTAAATGCAAAAGTAAAAAAAAGGTATAAAAGACACTCATTTTGGGGCTTCCCTGGTGGCACAGTGGTTGAGGGTCCGCCTGCCGATGCAGGGGACACGGGTTCTTGCCCCGGACCGGGAGGATCCCACATGCCGTGGAGCGGCTGGGCCTGTGAGCCATGGCCGCTGAGCCTGCGCGTCCGGAGCCTGTGCTCCGCAACGGGAGAGGCCACAGCAGTGAGAGGCCCGCGTACCACAAAAAATAATGAAAACAAACAGAAAACAAACAAACAAAAAACCCTCAACAGCTTACCTTCACACTCAGAATAAAATCCAAACTCCTTATAAACTATCGCCTAAAGACTCTGGACAAATCCCCCAACTTCATCTCTTGCCCTCCCACTTTCACCTCACTTTATTGTACTTTTTCCCTTGTCCTCAAAACACAAGATCTTAGGTTTCTCTCATACCTTTGTACTGATTTCCCCCTGCCTGAAGTGCTTTTCCTTCAGATTATTTCAAGCTGGCTGCTTCTCATTCTCTAAGCCTCTAATCAATATCACTTCTCAGAGAGGTTTCCAGGACCACCCATCCATGCCAGTTCCATGTGAGTCACTGCCTTCCTACTGCCTCAGTCATTGAAGTTAAACATTTATCTTTGTCTGAAATTGTGCACTTATTGTGTGTATCTGTCTCTTCCTCTAAAAATTAAGTTTCCTAGGGGCAGGAAAATTATCTGCCTTCTCTATATTCCAAAACCTAGCATGGATATATAGACTTACTCAACAACTATTTGTTCAGTGAATGAATCAATGATTCTGACTTTTGCTCATAACTGCTCCAAGGTGTAGTATTTCTCCTACTCCATCCTTAGTATCTTCCATTCCCATTCCTGCTAATTAACCTCATTTTGGATCTTTGACCTTACTTTCATAAGAGTTTTTCAGTCTTATTGAGGTATAATTGACAAATAAAATTATAATATATTTAAAGTATACATCATGATGATTTAATATACATACACATGTGAAAGGATTTCTCCCATCTAGTTAATTATCATATCCATCACCTTACATATTTATCTTTTTTACATTTTGGGTGAGAACGTTTAAGTTCTACTGTTAGCAATTTCAATCACACAGTACAGTATTATCAACAATAGTCACCATATTATATTCAATACATTGGATCCTCAGACCTTATTCATCTTGTAACTGAAAGTTTGTACCTTTTACCAAACTCTCCCTATTTCTCTGATCCTCCAGCCCCTGGCAACCATTCTTCTATTCTCTGTTTCTTTGAGTTTCACTTTGTATTTTTTTAATTCCACATATAAGTGATACCATGCAGTATCTGTCTTTTCTCTGTCTAGCTTATTTCACTTATGCATAATGCCCTCAAGGTCCATCCATGTTGTTGCAAATGGCAAGATTTCCTTCTTTCTCTGAAGGCTGAATAGTATTCATATATGTATATATGAAACATCTTTATTCATTTACTCATTCATGGGTACTTAGGTTGTTTCCATATCTTGGCTACCATGAATAATGATGCAATGAACATGGTAGTGCATATACCTCTTCAATATCTAGCTTTCAATACTTTTGGATATATACCCAGAAGTGGAATTGCTTGATCACGTGGTGATTCTATTTTTAAGTTTTTGAGGACACTTCATACTGTTTTCCATCGTAGCTGCACCAATTTACATTCCCACCAAGAATGCACAAAAGTTCCTTGTTCTCTGAATCCTTGCCAACACTTGCTATCTTTTGTCTTTTTGATGACAGCCATTATAACACCTGTGAGGTGATAGCTCATTGCAGTTTTGACTTGCATTTCCATGATGATTAGTGGTAATGAGCACCTTTTTGTGTATCTATCGGCCATTTGTGTGTCTTCTTTGGAAAAATGTCTATTCAGTTCCTTTGCCCATTTTTAATCAGATGGATTGGTGGGGTGGGGGGTGCTACTGAGTTGTATGAATTCTTTGTGTATGTTGAATATTAATCCCTTATCAAATATATGATTTGCAAATAATTTCTCTGGTTTCTCTTCAAATCATATAAATCTTCCACCTTTTACTTTCATAAGATTTTGAAGCAAGGCTTGGACTTCAAATGATAACAGTATGGGTAAAGATATGAGAAGAGGACATTCCAGGATGAGGACATGTATGAGAAAAGGGGTGGAGAAAGGTAAGGAATTTGATGATGTTCATTAAAAGCTATTGTAAAGTCTATAGTCATCACATTAATCAGAACTCTTGTGTTAATAAGGGACAGTGTTTTAAGCCAAAAAGGAAATTTATTACCTCATCTTACAAGAAAATTCAAGCTTTGGCTTCAGGCATTGGTGCATCCAGGTGATCAAAGAATGTTATCAGAAATATTTTTCTTTAATCTTTCATACTGTTTCTTTTGTGTTGGCATTTTTTCAAGTAATCTTTTCTTCAGGCAAAAATGACCACCAATAATTTCATTTTAAATCCTAATAGCTTAACAATATAAATAAATTGATATCAATTCTTTCCTAATAGCTACAGAAAAATTTCAAAAGGTTTCTGCTAGTCAGATGTACTAGTTAACCTATTGCTTCCTAACCAATCACCCTAAAACTCATCATTTAGGACAATGATATTTCATTATTGCTCATGAGTCTGCAGGTGGGACTAGTGGTTCTGATAGTCTCAGTGGGACTCATTGGTGCATCTGAAGTCAGCTGTGGGACAACTGGCTGCTGATCTCGTCTGGGCTCTCAACTTGTTTGGGCAACGGCAGACTGGTTGTTCTAGAGTAACGTTAGCTAGAACAACCAGGCTCTCCTCCTGTGTCTCTCACCCTCCAAAAACTTAGCCCAGACTTTTCTCATGGCAGTTGCATGGTTCTAAGAGAGAGGGTGGAAATACACAAGTCAAATTGAAGTCAATACTTAGAATTAGTACATTACTTCTGCTGCAATGTATTTGTCCTGTTAAGTCACAAAGCCAGTCCATATTGAAAGGACTGGGAGGAACTGGGAAGAGGTTTAAAGTCACATTGCAAGGGCATGGATACAGGGAAGGTGAAAAATTGAGATCATTTTTACAATCAATCTCATACTGGACTTAGGTCAGAGTCCTATCATTAAATTAGTTCCTATGAACCAGGTGTGAACAGAAAGCTTAGCAGTAATGGTTTCTAAGGGAAAAGTGAAGGGCTGTTCCCATAAGAAGTGATGATTAGAAAGCAAACTCAGCCGTTTTCCACTACATGGGATATACAAGCAGGAAGTCAGTTTGTCATAGTGTTTTAGAGCATAAGGTTTTGATTCAGACTGTTGATATTGGAATCATAACCCTGCCACTTCCTCTGTGTGTTTAAAACATTACCTAACCTCCCATAACCCAGTTTTCTCATCTGTAGGATAGAAATAATCACAGTTCTTCTCTCCTGGAGGTCTTTTAAGGATTAAATCAGACAATACAAGTTAAGTGCTTTCAAGGGAACCTGGTACTTAGTAAATGTTCACTAAATCTTAGCTGTTTTGTATTATTATTTGGCAAAAGTCAAGTTCTGAAATATTATGACAAAAAGAGCCACCTATCAGGAACATGATTTAAAGGAGAAAGCTTGACTTTCTTTACAATGATGGAGTGAGATTCCTCCCTTTCATTTCCACTATACTTGCCTTACTGAATTCAGTTTCTAGTATCATATTAGAGCCCCAGGGGGAAAATACCCTTCCATAAAGAAATTTAGGTAAATTTCAGGCTTAAGGAAACAAAAGCTATAAATATGAGTTTGTAGCAAGGACACAAAACTGTGTCAGCATGGTTCCAGGGTAGTATGGAGTTCATCATCAATTATTAAACAAGGTCAATATTTGTGGCACAGAGAAGGCTTTTAGCATATATTATTTATGCAGATGGTTGTAATAGGTTCTCCATCCTTGAACAGGGAGATTTGAGAGTGGAATACTATTAACAAGAAAACTACTTGGCACAGGAAATAGGATATCTTCTTTTCCAGGAAATAGTTTCTCTCACTCTCTCTTCACTATCTTATTTCTACAAAAGGAAAGAATCTCTAATAAATCTGTAATTACTATGCTTCTCCATGCCTTATATTATGGAGAAGGTGTATAGGGAAGGAAGAAGAAGGTTCTAGGAAAAAAATAATATTGGTTCTGGCCCTCAGGAAGCCTACAATCTGGCTGGGTAAATATAGTTTCAAGTATGAAGCAGGACAATGGTCTATATTAACAAATGCTGTAACATGGAATAGAGACAGATATTTAGGGGTTCAGTTCAGACAAGAAGTGATCAGCATGAGCTAAAAAATCATGATGGGCATAACAGGGGATGGCATTTCCCCCAAAGTGTGATTGGGAGGCAATGAATCCCACCCATTCAATAAACAGATACTAGCACAGGACAATGTGAGATCATGTCCCTATGGTCCATGGGAAGAGCATGCATTGTGATAGTCCATTGACAACCAGAGAGGTTAGAAAACATACAGGGCTTTTAATGGTTACCTGTTAAATGACCTGATGGGGAATTAGTTCTGAATGTCAAAAGATTAGTGTCCTTAAAAATGAGCAAAAAGAAGAGGCAAGGGGCAGAAATCAGAGCTCACAGAGATTGGAACCAGCTACATTGGACTCTTCCTCTCAATCCCAGCCCCTGCCCCACTTTGTTTGACTTCATCGATCCTCAGTATCCCCATCTGTAAAATGGAAATTGCAATAGTAGCTACTGCATATGGTTACCATGAAATCTAAGTAAAGCGGTTAACACAGTGCCTGCCACAGAATGATGATTCAATAAATGTTAGCGCTATTAACTTCTCTTATTATAGGTATAATTTGGGAAGTCATAGAGTCAGAATGTTAGAGCTGGAAAAAATATGACATGCCATCAAACCTAGCTCAGTATAATCTAGAGGTATGACGTTCTCTTCTAACCATCTTGCTTCTGAAGACAAGGCGGAAACTCAACCAAGTTGACTGCGAGTTTTTTTATTTGCATTTATCTATTGATTTCCTCCATAGAGGGCTTTTATGAGACCAACTTAATACAGCATGTTTCCCCATTTTCATCAAGGATTATAAACAAGGTCAATCTATATAGAGATGGGCTTTCAGCAGAAACAGTGATGTCATCATGCTCAATGAGCTTCATCGAAAGACTCTTCCAGATAATGATGAGAGTAAAATATGCCCAGGTTCCCCTTTTGTTCCTTTATTAATGAATTTGAGTCCACAGAAACTCAATAAAGGTGACAGAGAAGGCTCATGAGCATCACTGAAATCATCCTTACCAGGGGCAACCTGCATATCACAAAGCCAATTTTCCATTAATAAAAGACCATACCCAGAGCAGGATACTACGCTCTACTGCATTTGGACTATGTGTAGTAGAAGTGGTTCATCTGAGTGGTGGCAGAGTCCCAAGCATGCAATTTGAGCTCAGTTGCTACAGGATTTCATTGGCTTCACTCTGGTCTTGGCTCGGTCCCTTCCTGGCCCCCACTTTTGACCAAATTCAAACCCTCTTGCCTAGACTATTGAGAGAGCCCCATAGCTGGTTCTCCTACCTGTTTTCTCTTCCTATCACCAATCCGTTCTCCACAGGGCTGACCAAAATATCTTTCTCAAGCACAGACCTGCAAATTCCCTACTTTTTAAAAGATGCTCACTGGCTCCCCACTTCATCTCTTAGCTTTTATTGCCGCTGCTACTGTTGTTGCTATTATTGCCATTAGAATCACCATCATCATCATCATCATCATGATTATCATTTCTGGATAAAATCCAAACTCCTTTAAATACAATTCAAGATCTTCAAAATCAGCCACTGTTTCCAGCTTTATAATAATTAAGATAACTACCATTTATTGAAAGTTAATACGTCACAGGTCCTCTGCTCAATGGTTTACTTTCATTATCTCATTTCATTCTTACAACAATCCTGAAAGGTAGTCTTATCATACCCATTTATCAGATGAGGACACTGAAGCTAGGAAAAGTAATGTATCTTGCTTAAGGTCGCACAGTCAATAAGCAACAGCCAGAATTCAAACCCTGATTTGTTCCACTCCCAAACCCAGGCTGTTAACCATCATTCTCTCAGCCTCATCTCTGATCACCTCTCCCACACTCCCATCTCATGCACACCTGACTACTGGCCCCTCTAAGGAAAACTGATCCCGCAAATTTTTCAGGCCATTGCACATACTTTTGCTTCTCCATGGAATGCTGGAACATCCTCCAACCCATCACAGCAAGGTAGCCACCTCAAATGTCACTCTAGCAATGCTGTGAGCCTCTGGCCCAGTGTCCATGTACAGCGCTGGGTACACTCATCTGTCAGGGGCTGCAGGCACTGGATGCTAAAGCTAACCACTCATAGCTCCCTTCCCCAGAAATATTGCCCTTGTCTTTCCTAGAGATGTCCAGGATGTGACCACACAGACACACACCCACTCAGGGCAAATGACTGACTGATGAAGAGAAATAAAAACTCAGGCCCCTTGCGTTAGATAGGACAACCTCTGTGGTGCAATTTGAAAGTGCATCTTTGCATAGGTCCTTGCCCTGTCCTATCCTACTTCCCTTACTACTTGGCTCCTCTAAGAGTACACCCTAAATTAATCCCCATCTCAGGCTGTGCTTCTAGTGAACGGACTTAAGCCAGGCTCTTCCTCTGCGATGCCATTCCTTACCTCCCCAGAAAGACTTTATATTTTCAGCATCAATGCTCATAGAACATATTTCCATTATGGCATTTAGCATAGCATTTAACAGTGTTCTGATAATATTGTACCGAAAGTCCTTCTCCTTCGATAGATCATTGGTTCTTCTAGGTGAAGGACTGTGCCTTTTGAAGCTCTGTACCCTCACACAATGACAAACATTCAGGAGGCAGGCACTCCATTTCCTCCAGCTCACAGGAAACTCTCCACCCTGCCTGTCAGACTGGAAGGGCCCTGATCCAGATACTTGGCTGTTACTCTGTCTGTCCCATCTTCCAGCCCTCCTTCCCCACGACCCAGGCTCACATTATCAAGTTATGTTTAATTAATCTATTTTAGGGTCAGCTTTGCTTCTGCTTTCTCATCCACAGACCCTCACCTGTCTGTCTCCTTGCCCCACCTCTGTTTAATCTTCCTCTCTCCTTTACTGCTCAGACTTCACAGAAGTCCAGAATTTAGGAGTACAAATCATCTTATCAGAGCCAGTCCCTTGGCTGGATGCAAATGTAAGACCTCTTTGATTTATGAATGTCATGCTCTTCAGAGGGAGGGAGAAATGTCCCATTAAATGATATCCATCTCCCCAATCCCATTAATAAGCTAATTAAAAAAGTTAAAGAGAGCTTCCCTGGTGGCGCAGTGGTTGAGAGTCTGCCTGCCGATGCAGGGGACGCAGGTTCGTGCTCCGGTCCGGGAAGATCCCACATGCCGCGGAGCGGCTGGGCCCCCGTGAGCCATGGCCGCTGAGCCTGTGCGTCCGGAGCCTGTGCTCCACAACGGGAGAGGCCACAACAGTGAGAGGCCCGCGTACCGCAAAAAAAAAAAAGTTAAAGAGAAGTTCATGGAGAATAGATTGGCTTCTGTAATAGTATGTTGGCTAAATAAAATATTAATAAAAACACAACATGTGTCTGTGTCAGATGCCTCAGTGAGGAGGACTGAGATCGTAATTGACAATGTGAGTTTCTACTCATTTGTCTGAGGTGAGGCTGCAGCGTCCTTTCTATCTGAGTTGTTTTTGTCATGATCAAATAGGCTTTAAAGCACTAGCTGGATAGCTAAAAAAGAATCATTCTGTGAGAATTAGATGTTTTAAACACAATGACTCAATTAACGGTCACAACAACTCTCTGTGCTAGCCAAGACACTGAAGCTCAGAGAGGGTGATTTAATTTCCCAGAGTCACACAGGTGGCAATTATCAGAGTTGGATTTGAACCCCGGTTGGTTTGGCCCCAAAGTCTACTCTCTTTTCACTGCACCATATTTTATGAGGGCATGCCACAAATAGGGGCAAGATTTGAACAGAGAAGTTATGACTGAAAGGTGAAAGAGAAGGCCAGAAAAGGTCCTTTTGCTTTAAATAAACTTATGAGTTGAGGAAAAAGCTGAGGAGGTGGACTGCATTTCCAGCAATAAGAGGAAGTCTTCTTTCAGCAGTCCAGTGTTCTATTTACAGCATTTGGTAATCTAAGAGATGAAAGGCTAGGTGAGTAGTCAGCGTTAGTTGGTATTTGAGACAACTGACCAAGAATGTTGTGTAGCCAAAGCAAAGGAAGGATAGAGCAGAGGATGTGGTGCCTTTCTGAATGGGTGAACTTAGTCCAGTGATCAGGAATGAGGTAATAAAATTCATCACTATGATCATAACCATCAATTGGGAAAAGGAGAGTTCCCAGAAGAAGTAAGGGCCACCACTTGCGAAAGCAAGGGATTACAATACAGCGTCCTCCATATAAGGGAAAAGGCATGAATACAATTATTTGTTCTTGGTTTATGGAGAAGGAAAAAAACTAAGTGATAGCCAGACTAACAGGTTTAAGTAGGATGTAGACAACAAAAGTCTTAGGTTTGCAAGACAACCACCTCTCCCATAGCCCCTTAGCCACATTGGCTTCCTTCCTGCCACAGGACCTTTATACATGCTGCTCTCTCTGCCTCAGACATTCTTTGTCTGCCTCTTCACTGGGATATCTCTCACTTATCTTTTAGAGCTCAGCTCAAATATTCCACCCTCAGGGACACCTTCCCCACTTGACTCACCCTCCTTCACCATATGTTGAATCAAGTTTAGGTCTCTCTAGGTTTTCACGGCTCTCTTTATTTTAATTTACAGTAATGGCTGCTCATTGGATTAATTAATCATTTAATTAAACTGTGGTTATCTAGCTTATGGCTGTCTTTTGGACAAAGCTGAAATCCTCATGTGAGAAAGAGAGCAGCATCCTTATTCAGCACCATATCGTCAAAGTAACGCATGGTGTTTAAAATAGGGAGCAATACAAATGAACTTATTTACAAAACAGAAAGAGACTCAGACATAGAAAACAAACTTATGGTTACCAAAGGGGAAAGGGGAGGAGGGATAAATTAGGAGTTTGGAATTAACAGATACACACTACTATATATAAAATAGATAAACAAGGACCTACAGTATAGCACAGGGAACTATATTCAATATCTTGTAATAACGTATAATGGAAAATAATCTCAAAAAGAATATATATATATATATGAAATACTTTGCTGTATATCTAAAACTAACACAGCATTGTAAATCAACTATACTTCAATAAAAATTTTTTTTAAATTACATTCAATCTTAAACAAACAAAAAAGTTAAAATAGAGTAAAATGGGGAGCAATAAGTATTTCTGGAAGACAGGAAAGGAGGGAAGGAAAGAGAGACAAAGGTTTATTGACTTAAATTATGTTATAATCATTTGTTTACGTCTTTCCAAATGGCCTTTAAGCCTTCTGATTCAAGGAGTTTCTTATTTGTATTTATAGCCCTAGAAACCACAGTAGCTGGCATATAGCTAATCAATAAATAGCTATTAAAAAGATAAGCGTTAAACCTGGTTTCTTAAATTTCCATCCCTTTCCACATTCTTGGGAAGAGGACTGTTTTGAGTCTAGAGCAGGTCCTCAAGTGGAGGTCAAATGACTCTAACTCAGGCACGTTTGTTCTCTACATCTGTGTCTCTAGTTCTGCCTTGCAAACCGGTTTGGTGTTTCATATATTCTTGTGATGAAGAACCAGTTGTTTTATTTGTTTGCTTGTTTATTTGTTTTGTTTTTAAATTTTCAAACCATCCCAGATGATACATGGTCCCATTTCGTGTGACTAGTTTAGATATTATGGCGACATCAAATTGCTAGGAAAGTCTCTAAGTGCTTACTTTCAATTTCTGTACTTTTCTCATCAGCATCGGTCCACAGACTATAGAGCCCTGCTCTAATATACTTCTTTCTACAATTCAAGCTGGCTATAACGGTTAATAGGTTTCAGGTTTACATGACCTATCTGGAAAAAAAAACACACATATTTTCCCAAGACACAAGCTGTAAAACTTCCAGCAGATGAATTGTGTTTTCAGTCAAACTTCCTAAGCTCAAAGGTGAGACCGAGCAGGACAAAGTTACCGAGATGAGCACACAAGTAAATCTCTGATTGTGCTCCTACAAAATACATATTTGTATTAAAGCAGCGATATAAATTATTTGTCTGTTCATTACTAGAATATATAGATGATACATCACAATTTAGAGCAAGATTTATAGAAATATGAACACTTAGGTACAGGCTGATAGTTTTTCCATATACTAAACTTCAATTATCATCAATCATAGCTTAATCTAGCTTTGATTCTTGCATTATCTCGTGCATTCTTCATAGGATCCAGTCTTTGTGTGCTAAACAACTTCTACTTCCCTAGGCAGAGGGCAGACCAATCTATCCATGCCAGCCTAGCCTAGTCCCTTGAGCAATGTTTTATATCGTAGAAGTTCCTCTCTTCCATGAGATTCACTGTTTCTCAAGTTGACCTTGCACAACACATCCAAGACAAGAAATCTTTCTAGCAATGCAGATGAGCCCCCTTGTGTGTGTGTGTGTGTGTGTGTGTGTGTGTGTGTAACCAATCCATTTATTACTGATCAGGCTAGAATATGCTTCAGTAACAAAGAATGCCCAAATCTCAGTGGCTTAACAAAACAAAGGTTTAACTCTCACTCATGCTGTGTGTCCACAAATAATCGGCAGGATCTCTGATTGAGGTTCCATTTGGACAGATTCTTTCATGATTACTTGGAAAAGGTTACATGTTAAATCATATCCTGGTTCTTTTTTTAAATTAATTTTTATTGGAGTACAGTTGATTTACAATGTTGTGCTAGTTTCAGGTTGAGCAACTTTTCTTTTGTGAAGTAAAACACCTTTCTTTCCTGCTTGCAATGTTTTACTTTGTTTCTGCCCCATGGAAAGAATGTAATTTCATGTAAAAACATTGGGTTATAGAATGTTCTTTGGGGTTTAGCAGGAAAAAGAAAAAACAAAAACAAAACTCGAGGATAGTTGTGCTCCAATTGAGAAAAAAGTTGCCTTGACCATGAGTTTTTATGTCACCATAATCTTCTAATCATCCCTCCTTTATTGAAGAATGTCTCATTATCACTCCATTCATGGGAACATGATCCCAGCAGTTTTTATAACATATTTTGATCCCTTAGAATCAATTGATTTTCTCAGATAGGGAGTGATTCTTTTTTATTTCTTTCAGATGTTTACAAAATGCATTTCAGCCAAGTGAAGGATACACAGCGTTTATGCACAGGGATTGTTTCTCTCACGCTGGTTGCTCACTGGGTTTTATATGTGTTCAAGGCAGGAGACTGTTGCAGACAGAAACAAGAATCCCAAGCAAGACAAAATAATAGGGGCCAGAGAGTAAAGATGGGGAACTGGGCCAATGGTCAAGCCCACGTTGACGGACCAGATTTAGCTGAGATATTAGAGGAATAAGAAGGAAACTTACTTTATGAACTTCTTTCTGAAGAAATTCTTTATCTCACTGTCATCCACCACAGTCAGTGACTCCAGTTCAATCAACCCTTCCTTTCAAATACCTGTGGAGATGGGGGCCGGGGGGCAGGGTGGGGGGCTGGCTTCTGAGGCTTCTGAAGTGCTTTGAATTGTTTGCAAAACATTCTGAAACATCAAAATGCAAACTGAGAGCCAGCATGTTCCTCTCTTTTAAGAATGATTCAAGACTTTGTAAAATTGCTGAGCTCTGAAGTGTCATATAATCTATTAGGTTCCCATTTAAATTTCGTGTCTCATGATCAAAACATTCCCCCCTGAGACTGTGTGTGATCTGTCAGAGGGGAGTGACAAGCACATTGAAGGGGAGATGGGGTTGGATGTGTAAACCACGTGCAAGATATTGGACGAGGTTGCTGTAAAATATTATCTCATCAGATTGTTATCATGATCCTGTGAGCCATTATCATAACCTCCATTTGATGGTGAGACTTAGAGGAAGTAACTTGCCCAGGTCACAAAGTAAAGCTGGCGTACTCTCTGAGCTCCTGGCTGGGCACCTGGCCTTCACTCCCTAGGGATTCCATCTGGTCCAAGGATTTGCATTCCATTTATACATAGTTTACTCTCAGGATCTCAGTGATCTTTCTAAGTACGAATCATGTTATATCATCTTCATACTTGAAACATCCCAAAGGCTTCCTTGTGCCTCCACAAAACCTTACTATCACTCATGAAACTCAGGTGACCTGGCCACTAGCTACCTTTCCAAATGCATCTTCCTCCATTCTGCCCCTTGTTCACTACAGTCCAGCAACCAT